AGTTTCCTTCCCTAAAGGACATTAGTGAACCAGATGGGCTTTTCTTGAGAACCAGCAATGAGTTTCACATTCATCATTATATTCTTAATTCTAGATTTATTTTTTATTGAATTCAGTTTCCAGCATCTGTCATGGTAGGATTCAAAACCAGGTCTCCAGAGCATTACCTTGGTCTCTGAATCAATAGTCTGGCAATAGTACCATTAGGATTACCATCATTATCAACTCTTTGTCCATCCAACTGCTCTTCTCTCTCTTTAGGCTCTATCCTATCTTTTACTCCCTACCCCATCCCCCTCCCTTTTCTCTGCATATAAACTGATGTTTTCCCAGCCATCATCAGTTCTGAGGAAGAGTCACCGGACCCAAAACGTTAACTCTGTTTTTTCCCTTCACAGATGCTGCCAGACCTACTGAGCTTTTCCAGCAACTTTGTTTTTGATACCGTTTGGAGTAGTAGTTGACAGGGCTCTCAGCCGGGTCTGATCCATCTCCCACATTTCAGCCCTCACCCACTCTCCTCCCTCCTGCTACAGTGATAGGGTCCCAATTGCCCTCTCCTACCATCCCACCAGCATCCACTTCCAGAGGATGATTAGCTGCCATTTCTGCCACTTCCAGTGGGATGCCACCACCACACACATATTCCCCTCTATTCTTCTGTCAGCCTTCCACAAGGACCATTCCCTCCAGGGCACCCTGGTTCACTCCTCCTTCACTCCCCCACAGCACCACGATACCTTCCCCTGCAACAACAGAAGGTTTAACATCTGCCCATTTCACTTCCTCCCGCCTCAGTATCCAAGTGCCCAAACACACCTTCCAGGTGAAGCAGTGCTTTACCTGCACTTCACACAATCTAGTCTACTGTATTCACTGCTCACAATGTGATCTCCTCTGCACTGGGGAAACAAAGCGTATACTGGCTGACCACTTCGCAGAACACCTATGTTCTGTCCACAAAAAAGACCTTGAGCTTCCAATTGCCTACCACTTCAACACACCACCTAGTTTCCTGGCCAACATGTCTATCTTAGGCTTGCTGCAGTGCTCCATCAAAGCTCAGTGCAAGCTGGAAGAACAGCATCTCATTTTCCACTTGGCAACTCTACAGCCTTCTGGACTCATTATCAAGTTCAACAATTCTAGGACTTGTCCTTACCCCAGCCCCCACACACCAGACCTTGTTATCACATGGTCTGCTATTACCCACCAACCATTTTTAACCACTAATTGTCTTCACAAAAGCTATTCATTCTCCCAGGCTGATCATCATCCACTCCTTTGTCTGCCCAACTGTTTGTTCTCTCTCTTTAAGCTCTATCTCTACCCATCATTTACTTCTTACACCCTTAGCACCCCCCTCTCCCACCTTCTCTTCTGCATAAAAAACTTTCTCCTAACCACCATCAATTCTAAGGAAGGGGCACTGAAACAAAATGTCAACTTTGATTTCTCTCCACAGATGCTGCCAGACCTGCTGAGCACTTCCAGCAATTTCTTGTCTTTGTTTTTAAAGTACTAGGCCATTGCTTCCCTTTACGTGGAAGCACATTGTGTAGAGCATCACTCCAAGAGAACGCACAGCAAAGCTCATCCCACTGTATCAGGCAAAGAAGGGTGAGCTTTCCAGAGTGGCACACCTCCAGAGTAGGTAAACCCAAAGTGAACTATTTATGTCAGATCTTTCTTACTACAAGTAGGTCAACCGTTCTGAACCTCCATTATACAGGCAGTACATCTTCTGCTTTGGGTTTCTGACACTTTATACCTACGTTCAATTGCCAGAGGTGAGAAACTTTCCAAAGAATGGAGTTTTTATTTCAACATGCTTGCTCCATGCTTTGTCAGTGAAATGCCACGAATAAGACAGCTCCCAGTGCACCATAAAGATTTCAACCAACCATGCAATAATAAAATTGAAAACAATAAAAAAAACACCTTTCTTTTTAATTTGCAATTGCAGACACTCAGTATGGTCCACCAACATCCAGATGATAATGTTCAGACACAGAAAGCAGCAGCATGTACCATTTCTAAAAAGAAACTGTCAACTACATTCAAATGTGTTCTCACAGACCTTTACAAGATTATCCCTTCCAACATACAACTTACATAGCTCCGCAGAATGAATTTTACTCTGAATTTATTGTTGACAAGACTTTTGTTTTCCATGGAATTGCAACATTATGCGCTACTGATTGCAGGAATCTGATAAATCATAAAAATCACTCTGAAAAACTTTGGTAAAAATCACATTTTCAGTGGTGGGGTATCTTTGCTTCGGAAACCTTCCACCTCAATCTGTCGTTCTAGCATATATGCCATTGTGATTACGTGCGCTAGCAAATCTGGGTTCATTTTTCACTTCTGCATTAACAGAACGACTTTTTGTTTGGTAGCGAGAGCAGAATAAATGGAGGAAACACCTATGAAAAACTTTCCTGTGAATCATAGATTCAGCTTTTATAAAATTGCTAATCAGCCATTGTTATGGGATGTCAGATAAGGCCTTGTGTACTCATATCATAAATCAATAGCATACCATTCTAAAAAGATATTCAATACGCAAAGGGAAATATTTATTTTCCTAATATAAGGATATATCAAAGGCTGATAGTGACTCAATAACAAATTAAAAGGTCAGGATGAGTTTTTGTTTACTTGCTTTCTGCAGCTTGACAATCCTGTTCTCAGCATGTTTCAGCATTTTCACCTCATGCTGACCTACCAGAGTCACACAATTATTTAGAGACATAATTTCAGAGACAATACTGATAGTTTGCAGGCTCACTAGCCGCCTGAACTGATCGTAAAGTGGGCACTTCAATGCTATGGTGGCACTACCTCGACTGTCCCACACAATGCCAGTGAGACTTGTCCTCTCAAAATGACTGCATTGCATTGTGATAAAGGCCATGCATCTGTTATGAATCAGTGTTGCCGCATTAGAATGGCCAGAACTGACCGAGTCAGTGGTCTTAGCTTAGTTTGATGACAAGCCACCTGCATCTTAAACTCAGATTTTAACAAACAAACCTCCAAGGATAGTTTGAGTAGTGCAGCTACAGATAATGGTTTCATGACCTGTCCTCTGAATGTTGTAAAGATCAATTTGTACATTGGCTTCTGGATCAATTCTTTAACTGATACTACTAAATTGTTGAGAAAAGGGTGAATTTTCTAAATCTATGTCAATAGTGTACATCAGATAATTGCAGGCTATGTACCTGCAGGTTCCTGAGAACACCAGTGTTTTGTCACTGGTATGGACACTAGATATTTAGAATTTACCCCAGTGGGTTTGGCATTATCATGCATTGTTGAAGGAACCTGTTCTTCTGAATGCTCAACTCTAAATTGATGACATTTGGTCTTCTTCAGTGTTAGTGGCAAGGTGTGCTCTTCATACTGGTCTAATTTTAGAGTTCTCATATAAAGAAAGGACTTATATTTATCTCAACCAACTTTTAAAACCCTAAAGCATCCCAAAGTTGTTTACACGCAATGAAATACTTGGGTAATGCATAAAATCCAACACCAAATTTGTACATTGCAAGTTCCATCAATAGCAATGTGATAATGTCCCATTCCTTTTAAAGTGGTGTCAGTTGAGGGATAAATGTTGGTCAGGACACCAGGGAGAATGCTCCGCTCATCTTTGAAACAGCCCCAAGAAAAATGTTAAGGTCCACTGTGCAGGTCATATCCCAGCTAGAAGATCACAAATCTAAGAATCCACACTCTCTCAATAATGCTGGAGTCAATCCAGACTTTGGAATGGCTCTTGAATCTACAATCTTCTGGATCAAAGATAAAAGCCATTTGGATCTGTTCTTAGAAAGAGGGAAGTAGAATGCTGCTTTGCGAACATGTTCTTCAGGAATATTTATGGATTATATGCAATCTTTTTAGAGAGTATTGTTGATCAGTATCACAACAGCAAGTGGTTACTTCAGAAAAAAATATCAAAAAGATTACCTGAAGCAAGTATTGATCAAAAGGTCTGTACAAAATTCTAGCATTAGTAAGACAGCTGACCCAAACACAAGAAAACATGAAATCCTAGTGGGACCTAGTCAGTTTAAACACTTAAGAGGAAAATCTCATTTCACTGTCTAATTTCTGATAATGTCCAAATAATAGGCCTGAATGTTATTTTTCCTTTAAATCAAGTTAAATCTTCACCAGTAAAACTGGCTAAAAAAATCGTTAAATTCTTTTTCCTAAAATAATCCAACATACAATCAATTAGCATGCCTAATTCTACTCACTTCAAAACCTGGCACAAACTCACATCAAGGGTTGAATTTTCCAGGCATGTAGGAGACACGGAACAAGTTGGAAGGTTTGGAAATTTAAGTTGATACCCAACCCCCTTCCCACCTCCATCCACGTAAATTATGGGTAGAAAGGGCCATAACTAACTTGGAGATAGGAAGAATGGCAGATGCTGGAGTCAGAGTCACTACAGTGTGGAGCTGGAGGAACACAGAAGGTCAGGCAGCATCAGAGGAGCAGGAAAGTCAATGTTTCAGGTCGGGACCCTTCATCATGACTCAGTCGAAACGTCAACTCTCCTGCTCCTCTAATGCTGACTGACCTGCTGTGTTCCTCCAGATTCTTACTGTATTGACCATTACTAACTTTCTGTCCTAGGCCCCAACTGAAGGCCCTTAAGTGGTCAATTAATAGCTTTCCTCAAAAAGAAAACACTTCATATTTCAACTGCTCTATTTGGTAGCAAATTTGCCATTCGAACCAATTTCTACGTAAAGAAGAGTCCTGAATTCTTTAATTAGTGACTATCTTATGTTTTACAACCCCTTGGTTTCGGACTCCTGCAGTACTGGAAATATCTTCTTTAATTGTACCCTATTGAAACTCGTTCATAGTTTAAACAACACTGTTAGATCATTCTGCGTCAGCCATTTCTTTCACAGATGCTGTATAAAGTGGTAGAAGATATTTGGGAAACCAGAATAAATGTGAATACTTACTTGCCACAGAGGATGAAGGTTGATGCTGTTGGTTGCTGGGCTGTGGTGGGGTCTCTGTAGTTGGCAAAGGAGGGGGTGGAGGAGGAGGGATTGACCCACCTTCAGGGAGTGGGGGAGGGGGTGGAGGAGCAGGTATTTCATTGGTTGTTTGGTTTTCTGGTACGCTTTCATTCCTCAGCCCCTCCTGAGATACAAGGGAGCCCTAGTGAAAATAATTAGCAATTGGTGATTAAAAATACAGGTTACCATTACCATAAGTAAAACAATTCTTACTTTTCATCCATTATTATTGTCAAGGAGGATTGCAGACCTCAGGATTTAATCCATTTATAAAAAGCAGCGATCACAACTTGAAATCTCCCGATGCAAGATATGGTGCCCCATTATAGTGACAATTTTACTGGAAAAATACAGCAAATAGGAGGAATAATAAGCCACATGGCTCTTTGAGCCTGCTCCAGCAATCAATATGATCATGGCTGATCATCCAACTCAATTCCCTGTTCCCACTTTTTCCCTATATCCTTTGATCCCCTTAGCCCCAAGAACTTTATCCAACTCCCTCATGAAAACAATTGACATTGTGGCCTCAACCACCTTCTGCAGCACAGAATTGCACAGACTCACCACTCCTTGAGTAAACTAATTTCCCTTCCTCTCAGATCTAAATGACTTATCCTGTAATCTTAAATGTAATTACACTGGAGGCAGTCCAGAGCAGGTTTATTAGATCAATACCTGAAATTTATTTTTTTTTGTTATTCATTCACGGGATGTGGGCATCACTGGCTAGGCTGGCATTTCATACCCATCTCTAATTGTTAAGAGTCAACCACATTGCTGTAAGTCTGGAGTCACATGTCGGCCAGACCAGGTAAGGATGGCAACTTCCTTCCTTAAAGGACATTAGTGAACCAGATGAGTTTTCCAGCAATTGACAATGGTGTCACGGTCATCATCAGGGTCTTAATTTCAGACGTACTTTTATTGGATTCAAATTCTACCATCCGCCATGGCAGGATTCGAACATTGGTCCCCAGAACATTCCTTGAGGCTGTGGATCAATAGTCTAGAAATAATACCAATAGGCCATTGTCTCTGCATGAGGAAAGGTTGGTTAGACTGGGCTTGTTTTCACTGAGATTTAGAAGAATGAGGGTGATTTGATTGAAGTATTTAAAAAGGAATGAAACTGGATGAACAACTTGGCATTAACTAAGACACCAAAAAAGACAATGGCAAACTTAGTCCTGTCAACCCCACAAAGTCTCTTGACCTACATTTGGGAGCCAGCGCCAAACTGGGAGAGCTGTCTAGCAGACTAGTTAAGCAACAGCCTGACACAGTTGTACTCACAGAATCACACCTTACACACAATGTCCCAGACAATGCCCTCAACATTCCTGGGTATCTCCTTTTCCACTGGGACAGGTGGGAGATATAAATTTTAGAGGACGTTGCCCTGAGAGTCCTCAACTTGACTCCGGACGACATGAAGTTCCATGGCATCAGATCAAACATAGGTATGAAAAACTCCTGTTTACATGTAACACCCCTATCCCCTTGGCTGATGATCAGTACTCCTCCATGTTGAACACAGAAAGGCACAGAATGTACTCTGGGTTGGGGACTTCAACATCCATTACCAAATGGCTCAGCAGCACCACTACTGATCAAGCTGGTCAGGTTCTAGATGGCATAGCTACTAGACTGGATCTGTGGCAGGTGGCAAAGGAACCAACAAGAGGGAAAAACATACTTGATCTCATCCTCACCAATCTGCCTGCTGCAGATGTATCTGCCCAGGGACAGTGACCACTGCACAGAACTTGTGGAGACAAAGTCCTGTCTTCCCAGTGAGAATTGTGTTGTGTGCCCCTATCACCCTGCTAAGTAGGACAGACTTCAAACAGATCTAACAACCCAAGGCTTGGCCTCCATAAAGCACTGTGGGTCATCAACAACAGCAGAATTGTACTCCAACATCATCCGCAGCTGCATGTCAAGTCTATCCCAGGACATTGTGAGAAGCTAGGGAAAAAAATTGTGCGGCCCCTGGCAGAGATATTGGTATTATCTACAGCCATGGGTGAGGTGCCGGAAGACTGGACGGTGGCTAATGTGGCACTTTTATTCAAGAAAGGCTGTAAAGAAAAGCCTGGGAATATAGACCGGTGAGTCTGACATCATGGTAGGTAAGTTGTTGGAGGAGATTTTGAGAGACAGAATTTACATGCATTTGGAGAGGAAAGGATCAAATAGGGATAGTCAGCATGGCTTTGTGCGTGGAAATCGTGTCTCACAATTGTGCTTTTTGAGGCCATGACCAAGAAGATAGATGAGAGCAGTGCGGTAGACATTGTCTACATGGACTTTAGCAAAGCCTTTGGCAAGGTTCTGCATGGTGGGCTGGTTAGTAAAGTTAGACAACATGGGAGAGCTAGCCAATTGGTACAAAATTGGCTTGAGAGTAGGAGACAGAAGATGGTGGTGGAGGGTTGTTTATTGGACTGGAGGCCTGTGACCAGTGGTATTCCATAGGAATCAGTGCTGGATCCACTGTTGTTTGTCATTTATATAAATGATGTGGATGAGAATATAGGAAGCATGGTTAGCACATTTGCGGATGGCACCAAAATTGTTGGTATAGTGGACAATGAAGAAGGTTATCTAAGAGTACAATAGGATCTTGATCAGCTGGGCCAATGAGCTGAGGAGTGGCAGATGGAGTTTAGTTTAGATAAATGTGAGGTGTTGCATTTTGGTAAGACAAATCAGGACAGAACTTATACAGATAATGGTAGGGCCCTGGGTAATATTGTTGAACAAAGAGACCTAGGGGTTCGGGTACATAGTTCCTTGAAAGTGGCATCAAGGTAGACAGGGTGGTAAAGAAGGCATTTGGCATGCTTGCCTTCATTGGTCACAGCATTGAGTACAGGAGTTGGGATGTCATGTTGCAGCTTTAAAGGACATTAATGAGGCCACATTTGGAGTACTGTGTGCAGTTCTGGTTGCCCTGTTATAGGAAGGATATTATTAAGCTGGAGAGGGTTCAGAAAAGGTTTACCATGATGTTGATGGGAATGAAGGTTTTCAGTTATAAGGAGAGTCTGTATAGTTTGGAACTTTTTTTCCTGGGGCGTAGGAAGTTGAGAGGTGACCTTATAGAGGTTTATAAAATCACGAGGGGCATAGATAAGGTGAGTAGCAAAGTTTTTTTTCCCTAAATTAGGGGAGTTCAGAACTAGAGGGCAGAGGTTTAAGGTGAGAGGGGAAAGATTTAAAAGGGACCCACGGGGCAACGTTTTCACGCAGAAGTAGTTCGTATGTGGAATGAACTGCCAGACAAAGTGGTAGATGCAGGAACAGTTACAACATTTAAAAGATGTTTGGGCAGGTACATGAACAGGAAAGGTCTAGAGGGATATGGGCCAAACGCAGGCAGATGGGACTAGTTTAGTTTGGGAAGCCCTGTTCAGCATGGATAAGTTGGACCGAAGGGTTTATTTCCATGCTGTATGACTCTGGTTCAAAGGAGAGTGCATGAGGGAACGTTAGGAGCAGCACCAAGAAAATGAGCTGAAGCTACAAAACAGGGCTACTTGCACGCCAAACAGCATAAGCAGTAACTGATAGAGAGAGCTAAGCGATTCCACAACTAACAGATCAGATCTAAGCTCCGCAGTCCTGCCACATCTTGTTATGAGTAGTGCCTTTGGCCAGAAACTGAACTGGGCTAGCCATATAAATATAGTGGCTACAACAGCAAGTCAGAGGCTAGGAATCCTGCAGCGAGTAATTCATCACTTGACTCCCCAAAGCCTGTGCATCATCTACAAGGCACAAGTCAAGAGAGCGATGGAATACTCCGAACATACCCGGATGAGTATAACTCCAACAACATTCATGAAATTTGAGAACATCCAAGACATAGCAGCATGCTGGTTGATACTACATAAACAGGTATCTACTCCCTCTGCCTTTGGTGCTCAGTATGTTCTACTTACAAGATACACTCCAGAAATTCACCAAAGATCCTTTGACAGCACCTTCCAAACCCATGACCACAACCATCTAGAAAGACAAGGACAGCAGATACTTGGGAACCACCTACAAGTTCCCCTCCAAGCCACTCACCATCCAGCTTGGAAATATATCACCGTTCCTTCAGTGTTGCTGGGTCAAAATCCTGGAACTCCCTCCCTAACAGCTCTGTAGATGTGCTTACAGCACATGGAGTGCAGCAGTTCAAAAAGCCAGAAGTCACACAACACCAGGTTATAGTCCAACAGGTTTAGTTGAAATCACAAGTTTTTGGAGCATTACTCCTTCGTTAAGTGACTTCACCTGATGAAGGAGCAGCGCTCTGAAAGCTAGTGATTTCGAATAAACCTGGTGTCGTGTGACCCCTGACTTTGTCCATCCTAGACCAACACCAGCAGCTCCACATCATGGCAGTTCAAAAAGACAGCGCATCATCACATTCTTAGGGGAAAGTAGGGATGGGCAATAACTGCTGGCCAGCCTGCAATGCTCACATTCCATGAGTGAACAAAAAATTTCTGAATAGTCTTGACATATTGCTGTGGAAATTATGTTTCCTCATGTGAATGAAACCAGAACTAGGGGGCAGTGTTTTAAAATTAGGAATCACCCTTTTAGGACAGAGATGAGGAGAATTTTTTTTTTCTCACGAGTTTGCGCAACTTTGGAAATCTCTCCCTCATGAGGTGTTGGAAGTAGAGTCATTGAATATTTTTACGGCAGAGATCAATAGGTTCTTGTTCGGCAAGGGAATCAAAGGTTATGAGGGAGAGATGGAAACGTGGAATTTGATGTGATGGAATGGCCAGGCAGAATCGAGGGGCTGAATGGCCTAGTTCTGTTCCTACTTCATGTGTGTATCTAAATTTAATTTCCAGATGTGTACTGTTAAAATGAGGCCTGTATGTTATAAGTATACACTCATGATCACCCAAGGAAGGTTAGCAAAATACCTGCCAAAAAACTTTTTTGCGCATTGAGTGAAATTTTGCACTTTGATCACCTCAAAGCATTTCACCTCCTAGACAGGGGAATGGAGTAAGGTACGAATGGAGACAGTTAACATTTCAGAGGAAGAGATGAATAATCTTGGTTGTGGATAGGATATGAGTTTTGGCACTTAGCTCTCGGTATGGCAGCAGATCACAGCCGGGAACAGGGAAAAATCAGGGTGAGGTTTGTTAGGTGACTAGAAGACAGTCACTGGCTACAACTATGGGGGTTGAGAGGAAGATGACACTTGATGCAGATAGCTCCTTACAACTGGGGAGAGGATAAGGATTTGGAAGAAAATGCAGCAATCCGCCAGCCAACTCTGGCAATGGACAACTACTTCAAATAGTCCTTGCAATCTTTTAGCTGGATTGCTTAGTTTTAAAGAAGCCTGTCCTGTATTTCTGAGCTGCATTTCCCATATGTCCTGTGTTGGCACTGGCATGTTGGCGCAGTGGTTAGCACTGTTGCCTCACAGCACCAGGGACCTGGATTTGATTCTAGCCTCAGGTGACTGTCTGTGTGGAGTTTGCATGCTCTCCCTGTGTCTGTGTGGGTTTTCTCAAGTTGCTCCAGTTTCTTCCTGCTGTCCAAAGATGTGCAGGTTAGGGTGGATTGGCTATGCTAAATTGCTCATAGTGTCCAGGGATGTGCAGGTTAGGTGGATTAGCTAAGGTGGATTAGAAGTGTAGGGGAGTGTGGTGGGATTCTCTTCAGAGGGTCAGTATGGACTCGATGGGCTGAATGACCTAGTTCCATATGATAGGGACTCTCTGATTTCTCAGAATGATTTGGCATTGTGTCTGCCTTTCTCATAAGTTCATAATGTGAGCCCTTGCTGCTAAATTAATGATATTTCAACAGATGCATAAGTGTGTTATTTCAGATGGAGTTAATGCAGTCAGAGGTAATACACACAAACATATTAATGCATTCATTACTGATATTTTGCTTCAACTAGATTGTGAATTGATTCACTTTTCTGTTGTGTTTAATTCCAGCCACAGATTGACACTATGCAAATTCCAAACAGGGTACTGCAATTCTTGTTTCCTTCACATAAGGTCTGTGAACTATAAATTTTTGCCTGTTAATAAAGTAATGAATTTAACCTTAATTTAACATCATGCAGAACTTAGAAGCCAGTCATCCATTGGAGGGAGTGAAATGAATCGAGAATTTACTGCGTCGAGATTTTGTTCCGGATCAAGATCTTCGAGTTGAAATAGTAATCAGCTCTTCACAGATGCTGCCTGAACCGTTGGGTGTTTCCATAATTTTCTGTTTGCACTTCAGCTTTTGCAGTAGTTTGCTTTTGTTTACTATTTAGTTACTCTGGCTCAGAGGTTACCCACAATCATTTCTGGATCAGGGCTTGAGACAAACACATTGTTTAGCTGCATCATGGTTCAAACTCACCTCTTCATTGGGTACCATTCGGCTTTTCTCCTCTGTGTCGTCTCCTAGACTCTTGTAGTAATCTGCCGTGCTGGGCTCTTTGTTAAAACTTCTGGATTTTCGATTTGATTCTACTCTCCTCAGTCTACTTGGATTTATTTCATTGAGGTTTAACTGTATGTTGAGGTAAGGAGGATATAGGTAAAGAATGAGAGAGAAAAATCAAAGAAATGAAAGCATATGTATTTATACAGCAGTTAGTCCACTAATATAATTCACAAATGGAAAGTATGGCACAGTCAAACTTCAAAAACTAGAGTACCAGCTGCATTCAGATACAGAACAGCATAGAATTTAATGATTATATATGTAGTTCAGTCTGGTTGTAAGATGTTGGCATTGTTGAGTCCATCATCTATCCTTGTCTCATGTGTGTTTTGAAAAGGTGTGTCACTTTGAAGAGATTGTGTCACAGCTAATTAATCACCTTAGTGGGAATTATCAGTTAACCACTCACTGCAGAACACAGCCACATAGAGAGATTCCTTTTCTAAAGATCAGACAGTGCTATTCGCTGAAGAACACTGCAGTTTTTCCAGAGTCCTGGCCTCTACATATACCTTAAAATACCTATGATTTATCATTATTGAGGCCATTTGCAAATCATTTCAGCCATGCATTTTCTCAATGGGCCGCTATGGAAGTTTGAACCTAATGGCCTCAATGTAGTTCCTGTAGCTTTGTAACACGCTCTTAACATAGCCTCTAATGTATCAGCCAATGAACACAGCTCCAATGGACAGGGCTAATGCAATAAGTGAGATTTATTATGTAGTCCCTCCCCACATGCACTACACCTGGGATAGTCCTTCAAGTGAGGCACTGGCAAGCCTGGAAGTTGGCCAGGATCCAGTATAGGTCCTTGGTCATTGGCTGAAACCAATTGCATGGCATCAAGCTAACGAAAATGGGTGTTCAAGTTTTGCTGCCGGACCACTAGGGGTGGCACAGTGGCTCGCACTGCTGCCTCACAGCACCAGGGACCCAGGTTCAATTCCTGCATCAGGCAACTGTCTGTGTGGAGTTTGTATATGTTCTGCATTGGTTTCCTCGCACAGTCCAAAGATATACAGGTTAGTTGGATTGGGCATGCTAAATTGCCCAGTAATGTGCAGGCTAAATGAATTAGCCAGAGTTACAGGGTAGGGGTGTGGGTCTGGATGAGATGCTCTTGGGAGGAGTGGTGTAGACTCAATGGGCCAACAGGCCTGCTTCCATACTCTAGGGATTCTATGATTCGCACGGTGGAAGGGGACAGTGAGGGCATGAGTCACCCTGATGGCTATGCAGGATCTAGCTTCATACTCAAAAGGCAGCTTGCCTGAGTTGGAAATTGATTAGTGGGCTTTTCTTTTGAAAGGGAAAAACTCTGCTGTTTCAAATCTCCAACATTTGAATTTCAGTTGCTTCAGCAAAAAAAAAAATGCATTGCAAGCAGCTTCCTAAATGTCCTCCCCTTGGGAGGTTGAGTCTGTGACACCACTTTAAGTATTAGCCCAGTCTCTGAGTTGTGTGCTGCTTCTTTATATTTGGGCCCAGTATGCTGGGTTCTGAATTTCCCAAATCTCCCTTCCTAGAGAGCGTCACCTGAGTGAGTTTTTTACAGAAAAAACATTGCCAAACTCAATCCAGTGCCCTGACTTTGTCTCCTGCAAGCCTAAAGGACTCCAACAGAGTGTCATGTAGGCCACACGTAAATCATCAGCTTCCACTGGGTGGGTTATTGAAGATGTAAGAGACAGCTGTGAATTTCACCAAATTAGGGTTGATTAAATTGCATCAAAATGTATTTAAAATCTATGTAACTTGGTGATTAAGCTCATCAATGTACTTCCCATTACTAACAGACATTTTCTCACCCTCCTAATGCTGTTAATCACTTACAGATTGGCCACCTCTTAGAACAAAAGCAAAAGTTGCTGGAAAAGCTCAGCAGATCTGGCAGCATCTGCGAAGGAAAAAAAAACAGAGTTAACGTTTCAGGTCCGGTGACCCTTCCTCAGAGTCAACGTTCCTCAGTTCTGAGGAAGGGTCACCAGACCGGAATAGTTAACTTTGTTTTTTCCTTTACAGATGCTGCCAGACCTGCTGGGCTTTACCAGCAACGACTGTTTTTGTTCCCGATTTACAGCATCCGCAGTTCTTTCAGTTTTTATTCTGCGACCTCTTAGAGTCTGACACACCCGCTCCTTACACAATTCTCCGTGCCCACTTGTCACCTTGCCCACTCACTGGGCAACATAAGCTCCAGACTTTTCTGAGTGCGAGTTTCCTATCGATTTGAACAAGGTGTGTTGGTTGGAATAACTACTTTCTCTTCACGTAGTGAATTCCAGGAAGTGATTACATCCCAAGTGCTTGTGCTGCATTATGTTATTGATAAGCTGTTTGCTGCTCCTTTCAGCATGTTTATAGCATCCATCCTTAGGTAATAGTGGGAAGAATAGGTTCAAGAAGAGAGTCTGGTTCTCTGAAAAGTTCTTCCTCTCCTCTCCTCCCAACTGTTTAAAGTTGGCCTCAAACTCTTCTTTGCCCTTAAATTCTTTACATAATGGGATATGGAATATTGACAAAGATAATAAAATGTACTGCACATGTGATTTCTGTCACATGTGTAGTGTGGGCCTCAACAGTTTTAAAGGTTACCAGCTATCACTACACTGTCCCTCACATTTGCTCCATGATGATGCACTTTACCCTGGCAGTCTGCCTGCAAAATGTGAATGAATCATTTCAATCTAGTTTACTTCTTGGTTGAATGAGAAACTCCATTTGGAACCCCACTGCTCCATAATAACTCCAACCAATCCTACCATCCAATCTGAGAGGAAATAGTAGAAAACAAACAGCAAATAAAATACAGAAAATCCTTCCCTTCTTCAGGACAGATCAATGAAAAGTTGCATTATAGGAAAGGATTATTCAAGCCTCATTGTTCAAGCCACAAAAGCTCAGTACTCGAAATGTTGTGTTTTGTTCCAGATGTTTCACAAGTCCACTGTAGAGTGGTTGGACAGCTCTATAAAGTTGATTTCTGGACTTTGTTCACTGTGCCTCTCTGAAACAATGTGAAGTATTGACAGGAAAGATTCAGCCTCAGCCAATGGTCCCCACATGACAATCGCAATATTCATAAACTCGTTATACTATAACAATCAATTAAAATTCAATTTGAATGAATGTTATTGGCTAGACATTATGGGTTTAACTGCTCATCTGTATTCAGGTGGATTATCTTGATAATGAGATAACAAGGTGTAGAGCTGGATGAACACAGCAGGCCAAGCAGCATCAGAGGAGCAGGAATGCTGATGTTTCGGGCCTCAACCCTTCTTCAGAAATCTTGATCAAGCCAGTGGATGGAGTGGTCAAATTGTCCATCATTCTGGTTTACTCTGCAATAAATATTCTCTTCTTTACTTCAGCAATTGCCATTCGCAAACTGTTCATAGCGAATGACCAAAGAAGTGACACCCTTTGGCTGTGTTGAATATTCCATACAATTTAGAATTTTGAAATAGTCAATTTAGCCCAATATATTCCACACACACCTCTTTCCCCCTATCTTCATCTATCCTCATCACCACATCCTTCCAGTACTTTCCCCACTGTATGTTGGCTAGCTTTCCCTTATATGTCCTTTTGTCACTCAACTCCACTACTCCCTGCAGTGGCACAGTTCCACCTTCCTGTTGAACAGGATTCTGCTGAATTCCATTTTGGATTTATTAGGCACCATTTTATATTTAGGAACTTTAGTTTTGCACTCTTGCTAAAGGAAAACATCAAACTTGTTGAACACCACCCCCCCTTCCTAATTTCAAACACCACTATCAGGTTGCCCTCGAGCTTGATCTTCTCTGAAGAAACAGACCAAGCCTTTTCAGTCTTTTATGACCAGGAAAACCTCTCTTTGCTATTATCATCCATGTAAATCTTTCTAGTTGTGTTTCCTCCAATGCCTCTATCTTCTTGTTTTGTAACTTGGAGAACAGACTAGAACACTCAGTGATCAACCCAAGATTTTGGCCAAAATTTAGCAGAAATTAAATTTAGCTTTTTATATCATATTCTTTCCCACTAACCCTACAGGCTGCCACAAGAAGAGCAGAAACTTGCATAGAGGTGCCAGAGAACTGCTATTGCCCTAAGAACTGTGCCCTATCGCAACCCAGCTCTTTTGAGAGAAGGGAAATGAAATAAAAAGGCGAAGACCTCGGACAGGATCCAGCATTGAAGATTCTCAGGGAATAATTTGCTGAGGACATTCTGGGACAATGCGCCACACCTGTCATCGACGGGTATCAGAAAACCATTCACATAATGCACACGAGATGCTTACACCTTGGGCATACACAATGGGTCACTGCTTTTACAGGAGGTCACTTCATGTGGGAAAAAAAAGACTATGAATTCATATTTTAAGTGCAACCTAGCAAGGTGTGGGAGGGATTTCAGAATTTTTACTGTTTAATGGAAAAAAACATCAGTCCCTTCTGGGCCTCAAAGAACTAACGCCTGAAAACTGATGATAAATCATAAATCCCAAGAGGAAACCTCACAAGATAAATAAAAATATATTATGTAAACCTGGTCTGACGAGGTACGGGAGATTTGCAAAAATCTGGCTCCAAATCCCATCACGTGTCCCTTCAAACCCATGGCGTTGGATTTATAAACGGAATTTACAATACCAGAAATTTGAACATGCACAACATACTTCTAATTAATTTTGAGCAGGATTTAAAAGTATAATTCACATAAGATCTGAAACAAAATAGATTGACTCTTCAAATCGTCTGAGGATGAAACAGTACATTTTTCTGAAATATATTTAGGGAGTGGAACACTGGTGTTCCTGAACAACTTCTTATAATTTGCCTGAAGCAGTTTCCAATGTTTTGAGATATCGCTGTCATACTCACGAAAGGTTTAAAATGCAAGGGACAGGAAGGTAGCATGCAAAATGATATGAGCAGACAGCTCCGTTCTGAGCATATCCGAATGCTTTTGCCCTGTCAATGAGTCCCCTAACACTGACTTTTCCACGCATGCAACTGTTTAAAAATGTTCCCTCCTGCAACAAATTGTTTTTTTTTCATTTTAAAAATTTA